CTTAATAATGAATGTAACTGTACTTCAGGTACAGTTTGAATGACTTGAAAATGTTTCTGTATTCATGCCCTGACTTGTACTTTTTAATATCATTTTTTTACTGAATTTCTTATAGTCTAGTTATATGCAGGAGTACATTATATTTTTAATTCCTTTGACATTACTTTGTAGAAATATGTCTTTCTGGCAAAGTTTTATCCAGAAAGCTAAATTAAACTGACCGTGATTCAACACTGGAGAGCAAGAAAGAGAGTTTAAAAACTCCACGGGGGTTGTGAAACAACCGTGTGCACACATGCAGCATATAGATCATGGGCAGTCTGCTCCACCTGCCTCGGCTGTACTGGGGGTCAACATGTGAACAGTGGGTGACTGTGAAGCAGCACAATACTTCCACAGAGGCTGAAGGGAGATAAACACCCTTTAAGCTCATAACTTGGCCAAAAAAAAAAAAACACTGCTCAGTGTTCTCCTGGTTCTCTGTGCAGCCTCTGTTTGCATGTTCACCGTTACGCTTAGAGCCAAGGAAACAAACCACCTATGTCCTACTGTCTCGTGCTACTGGTTGGTTAACCATGTTGGATGTTCTTGCTTGTAGAAACGTCAAGACTATAACATGTTAAAATAAAAAAGGAAAAAAAAAAAATACCCCCAAAAACAACACGTCAGCAGTCGAAAGGCTCCACAATAAAAAGAAAATGACCTCCATCACACATTTTCTTACTTTTTTATTTACTAATTATCACAGTAAAACTATACATTTTATTTTTTTTGGTTTATTTACACTTTTCTCTATTTACAGCTTATAGATTTAATAAAACTTGAATTGTCTTATATCGCAAATAAATCATATCAGAAGGAGTAAAGGACACATTTTTCTTTTGAAATGTCTTTTTAGACAGAGACATGAAGGACTTTTCATTTTTAAGCTCCAATCGCTGCCAGGTAGACCGACTCAAACTACGGCGATGCTTTTATGTTTTTCTGACGTCTCACTTGTGATGTTTTCTTTTGTCGTCGTCTTTGCTTAAGCCGGAAAACAGAGCGGCGCCCAAAACTGCTGCGATGGCAACTCCAGCTACAGCCACACCTCCAATCGCAGCTGCTGTCTGAACCTGCAAAAATAAAGAAAGAAAGAAAGAAAGAAAGAAAGAAAGAAAGAAAGAAAGAAAGAAAGAAAAAGTGAAGGTCTGAGGAGTGTTCATGAAAAATTCCATTTGTGATTGTTCCATACAAGTCTTAAGTCCCAGGTAGACACTATAAATGGATCGGATTCGTCAGACCTCACAGAATTAAAATTTAGTTATTTTTTTACTGTCCTGGGTTAAACATAGTGTCCGCCATTTTGGTTTTTAAAATGTAAACGTCCACCTTAAGCATGATGTTGGTGGATTGCATGAATTTGTTTTAAGTTCCAGTTGGTTTATCTCTATTATACTGGAAAAATACCAGTCAAGCAACCAAATATTGGGCGGCTGTGGCTCACGTGGTAGAGCCAGTTGTCCTCCAATCGCAAGGTTCGATCCCCCTCCACAGTCAAAGTGTCCTTGGGCAAGATACTGAACCTGAAGTTGCTCCCAATGGCAGGCAGCACCTTGCATGGCAGCTCTGTCGCCATTGGTGTGTGAATGGGTGAATGAGAAACACATTGTGAAGGGCAGACCATTAACCAAAGATTGTTGCCATCTTGGGGCTGCAAGGTGGCGCAGTTGGTAGCACTGTTGCCTCGCAGCAAGAAGGTTGCCGGTTCGCGTCCCGGTGGGGGCACCGGAATCTTTCTGCGTGGAGTCTCCATGTTCTCCCCGTGCAGCGTGGGTTCTCTCCGGGTTCTCCGGCTTCCTCCCACGCAGTCCAAAAACATGTTGAGGTTAATTGGTGATTCTAGATTGTCCGTGGGTGTGAGTGTGGGTGTGCTTGGTTGTCTGTCTCTAAGTGTGGCCCTGCGGTGGACTGGCGACCTGTCCAGGGTGTCCCCTGCCTTCGCCCTGGGTCGGCTGGGATGGGCTCCAGCCCCCCGCGACCCTCGTGAGGATTAAGCGGTGTATAGAAAATGGATGGATGTTGCCATCTTTACCTTTTCACAAGCATCAAAGTAAATGTTTGTGATGTAGATAAATGAATCATCCAGGAGGCTGAAATGAAATGCCTGACTATCAATAACTTCCCCTCTCTGTTCTCAATGTGGTCACTGGTGTGTAAAATTTTCATTTGAATGTTGCTTCGCCTGTTTCCATGGAACAGCAATCCAGCGTTGGTTCTCATGATAAACCGTTATTCAGCTACACGTATCAGCCATAACATTAAAACCAAGAGACCTTTGTGCCCACAAAACGGCTCTGAACCACTGAGGCCTAGAATCCACAGACCTCTGAAGGAGTCCTACGTCATCAGGGGTCTTAAAATCCTGAAAGTTGTAAAGTTTTTCCTGCACATCCCACCGTTGTTTAGTCGTGTTGAGATCTAGTGAATCTGGATGCCGAGTCACCCCCTAAAACTGTTCGTCATGTTCCTCAAACCTTTCCTGAACAATGTTTGGCAGGGAGCTGAAAGATTGCTGCCACCAGGGAATACTTGTCTCATGAATGGGTGTACGTGGTCTGTAGCGGGGTTTAGGTAGGAGTTAAAGTAGCGTCCACATGAGTGCAGGACTCAAGGTTTCCTTCCTTCCCATCCTGCTGCCATCTCCTCCCTGGTAAACAACGTGCACATGATGTCAAAGAAACTGTGATTCATCAGAGCAGGCCACCTTCTTCCATTCCTCCACGGGTTCTAATTCTAACACTCATGTGTCCGTTGTAGGCGCCTGGTGGTCAGTCTGACTGGTCTGCAGAGACGCAGCCAAACACACAGCAAACTGTGACGCTCTCTGTGTTCTGACGCCTTTGTATCGAAGCAGCATCAGCAGGTTGTGCGACAGTAGCTCAGACCAGCATTTACTCTCCAGTCGCATCGTTGAGGTTTGGCTGCTGATTGTCTGACTCACTGGATGTAGACTGTGGGTATCAGCCTGAGGTTTTATTCTTTATTCATTATTGCCATTATTATTAATAATAATATTACTACATTACCCTTGTTTATATGGTTTAACTTTTTATTCTTAACACTGTAAAATATGTCTTAACACTACAAAGAATAATATAAACACTATAAACTCTGTCTAGCACTATAAAATACGCTTAAACACTAGAATTAACACCATAAAATAGTCGTCAGAAATCTGTGAAAAAGCCACCAGTCCTCAGTTGACTCTCCTGTCATTATCCTTCAATGCAATGCATGCTGGGACATATTGCTGGTTAGTGACCATCAGCTGTATTCTGCTCTTCACGGTGCATTGTGGGACACTTTGAGTGCACTACATAAGGTGTAGCAACTCTAATTTAACAACCAGACAGCACTACATGATGGCAAACATCCTACACTGTGCACTGATTTTTTTTTTGTGACTAAAAAGATATCAACACTTTATAAAGTGACTGTTTGGTTTCAGGTATTTCCTTCCTGCTGCTTGGATGACTTCTATCTAGCTGTGCTAGATGCTGTAATTCCATCGGGATCATCATCCTGCAGCAATGCTAGATGGTAAATGTGCATATATGTACAGTAGCAGATGTAATGTAAAGCATACATTTCCATTCATTTAAACTGGATGGTCGTGTTGCAGCACAGCGAAGGCGGCAGATGCACTCGGCGGATTGATTAAACGCCCCCCCCCTTCTTTTTTTTTTTTTGGGAAACTTGCAAATCAGCTTGTTAATCACTGTCTGTTGTTTGAAAGGCGCACAATCGCAATTTATTCAGGGCCACATCTGCTTCTTATCAGCCGTAATAGATTGTGTTTGATCTGCGTATTGTTGCAGCGAATGAGGTGCTCGTGCTGCTAACTCATCCAGAATGCAGGTGCAGACACACAGCAGACGGTGTGATAAAGGGATTGAAACGGCAATGAAACACGACTTTTTGTCTCTGCCGGGTTCATTTAGGGACAAAGTGATGACAAAATATTTAAAGGGAATATAAATCCTATTAATCTGATCTATTGACATGCAGTGATTACATTACACTAGTTTGATATACACGAGTAAATACACCAACATTACCTAATTAAACCTTTTTCTATTGGATATTTGACAAAATAATAATATATATTCACCAATAAAACTAATTCAAATTAATATGAGTGAGATTTTTTATAATTTCTCAAATTCCATTTTCTGATACACTGTAAAAATTAATTTGTAAAATAACCAAATTTTTCAGCTGAAACTGTAATTTCTGTAAAGGACACTTTACTACCTCTAAGAATACACATTTTTGATTATTTTACCTGTTCATTTTTTATTTTATTTTACAGTGAACATGTAAACTAATACTCTGCAATTTTACCAGAGTTGACATATTATCTATCACAGAGAAAACCTGTAAAACAATACTTTTCTTTTGTGATTTTAAAAAGATTTTAGATATTAGCTATAATTTTTTAAAAAAACAGAGAGAAAACATTTTCCTAAATTTACATAGGATAATGCTTCTTTTAAATGACGGCCAATATCGGTAAAATAATCTATTTTTTGTGATTTTACGGTCAAATGTTGTAAAACAAACAAAGATATTACAGTTTTATTAACAGAAATGTTTTATGTGAATGTTATTTACAGTGTTTTTTTTTACAATTAAAATGTAAATTTATACGTATTTTCTTTCTTTATTTTTAGTAGTTTTTTTAATCTGTAATTTAACAAAAAAAAATTATAGTTATTTCACCGAAACAAGAAAAGTGTAACATAAAATTGAATTGTCCCAAAAATTCCAATTAAAAACAGTTAAAAACTAGAACTATTTTTACAGTGTACTATGTTTATATAAGTATTTTATTGTTTCAAGCACTGCATGCTTGTTTACCCCACACTTTCATGTAATGCTTTGTATATTTATTACCTGACCAGGTAATTTTGATGCCTAAACCTTTAACAATCACTTAAGTTTAGGAATCATGGCCCCATACTAGACGTAAGCCCGTGTTTCCTGTTGTCCAGATTTTGCGGTTTCCTTAAAACTAATTTCCGTTCTTTATTTACGTCACAGTCTGGCGCTTCAAAAGGAAAATACGCTTATTGCAATTTAGTTGTAAAGGCACAAACACTGACCTGCCGCGACTCGGCCTCGCCGTACCGCAGCTCTGTCACAAAGTGTTCACAGTTGTAGGTGGCGGCGTTGTACGGCAGCTGCCGACCGACCATCCTGCAGGCGTCTCGCACGATGACGCGGCGCTCGAGGGGCTGATACGTGTCATCGAGGAGGTTGTTGATTTCGAAGCGGCTGGAACCGACCACCTCCCAGATCTTCTGACGCCTCACCGTCGCCGTGCTGCTGTCGAAGAGCATCAGCAGCTCGCCGAAAGCCCCCAAGTCGGCAGCCGGGTTCGCTGCAGATTCAGATTCAGATTCATTGTACAGACACGCAATGAAATCTAAGTGCAGCGTGCTCGATGAATACATTAAAAGGAGCAAAAGTGATGAATGTGTGTCACTGAAGATGTTACTTTGACTTGGCTTCAAAAAGGTCCAGGATTCATGTACAGCATGTTTAGCTGTGACACTTTGTTTTTTATGTAAATCCACTTATTGTCACTTACGTGGAGGAATCAGATGAACCACTTCGTTCCCTCCGATGTAGATGGCCCAGTGCTTGTACGCCCCGCGGAAGATCTCGATCAGGTCACCAGGTTTCGGATCATTGTCGAACTACAATGACGTAAAAAAGACCGTAGTCAGCGTTAGTGGGCAGGAAATACGCACAAATAGTATCAGGTACTTCATCATCTGTTGGACAGACACAATCAGTCAATAACCACGGGTAGACGACACCGTTCTTGACTACAGATTACTTTGACAAGGTCTACAACAAACTATTTCTGCCTCAACAAATCAATTTAAAAATTCAGCAGTGTTAATGTTCATATAACTAAACACATCGAACACATAATAGGCACAGACATTTTGCTAAGGGTTGTTTGTGTTGTAGTAGGTATACATGTTGAAATTACAACACGACAGCCTCCTCGCTTTATAATAACTGGAATCGACCCTGAAGAAATCAGTTGACACTTTCTGCTGGGTGATAAAATATGGCACGAGTCCCTTCTGATAACATAACAAAACAATAAATCAAGCAGGAAAAAGGAATCAGCTGTTTGTGATCAGGGTGCAAGCTAGTCAACACTGGGAAGGTTTCCTTTAAGCCACTGTTCAAACTACTTTGTAAACAGCATTTTCTTCTAACTTTAGCAACTTTTCGACACCTTGCAGCTTCACAGCGACAACCTAGAAACACTACACATCGAACCTGTTCTGCATCTACTCGTGCAGCAGCAACAACAACAAGACCGCTCTGATCGACACAACAAGTCCTCAGTGATGGTAGAAGTCGGCGGCTGTGGACTCACCAGCGTCGGTGCCATGTCTTCACCTCCTCATCCAGCTGAAAACTACGTGCAGTCGGAGGCAGTTTGAGTTTTCACACAGTGACGCCGAGATGGAAACAGACACACATTGGACGAACACCCGGTGACACAGCGTACGACCTGCTGCGTGGCCCAGATTGGTGAATCATTAACTGCACTTTATGCAGCTGTTTTGCCCGAGAAGCTGCCAAGAGGTTAAGTTTCGTTTCTTGTGAACCGTGCAGTGGATTCTACCGTCAACAGTCAGCCACAGTGCGGCTGTAACATTGGT